AACGATCGTGTGTGAAAGGTTGGCTTTTAAGAAAAAACACTTCATACAATAAAATTAACTTTATTTTTCTTATATATAATCCTATGGATTTTAAAACATGTATAGAGTCATGTAACTACCACCACAATCAGCATTCAGAAAAATTCCATGATTGCCAAACCCTCCTTTTTACTATCCCTTTAAAAGCACCCCTTCATCCCCTTCTAGCTGCTGAGAATCACTTGACTTATGCCCCATTAATGCTTTCAAGAATAACTGGACCGGGTGCAGTGGCCTAGCCCAGCATACTACAGTGATGCAGCCACATCAATGTTTATAGCAGCACAATTCACAATAGCTAAACTGTGGAACCAACCTAGATGCCTTCAATAGATGAATGCATAAAGAAACTGTGGTATATATATACACAATGGAATTTTACTTATCTCAGTGAGACCCTGTCACTAAATAAAATACAAAATGGGGCTGGGGATGTGGCTCAGTGATTGAGTGCTCCTGGGTCCAATCCCCAGCACAGAAAAAGAAAATGTAGCTGAGTGTGGTGGTGCATGCCTATAAGCCCAGTGTCTTGGGAGGCTGAGGCAGGAAGATTGCAAGTTTCAGGTCAGCCTCAACAATTTAGCAAGGCACTTAGAGACTTATTATTATCTTGTCTCAAATTAAAAAGGGCTGGGAATACAGCTCAGTGGTAAAGTGCCCCCTGGGTTCAATTCCCAGTACCAAAAGAAAAAAAAATTTCAAGAATGTCATTTTTTAGACTGACTTGTTTCATTCCGAAAAGTGTATGTTATGTATTTGTGTATTTATTTGCAGGGCTGGGGATTGAACCTTGTGCATGCTATGCAAGTGCTCTACCACTGACCTATATTCCCAGCCCTTTAGTTATTTAGAATCAGGGTCCAAATCACTGAGGCTGGTCTTGAACTTTCAATCCTCTTGTCTCAGCCTCCTAAGTCACTAGGATTGCAGGTATGTGCCACTGTGCCCAGCTCAAAATATCTTTACCATGATGCTATAATCAATTCTGCATTCCTCTTTATTGCCAAGAAATAGTCAACTGATTGGTTTCTAATAGTATCCCCCTGGTCAGTGACACCATTATTCTACCAGTTACTTGGGCCAAAAACCTTGATATCTTCCTTGATTCTTTCTTCTAACCTATACAACCAGTCCATCAGCAACTCTTGGTAGCTCCACTTTCAATCTGACCACCTTTCACCACCTCCACTGCCATCATCTAGTTCAGGCCACCACCATCTTCTGTCAGGATTAATGCTTCTACTTTGACCCCTCTATCCTCATAGTCTGTTATACCCTGAGCTAGAATGGTCCTTTTAGACACTTTAATTTGATCAAATCATTCTTCTGCTTGAAAATCTCCAGTGGTTTCCGTGGTGACAGGCAAAGTTGTTGCCATGTCCTACAAAGCCCTGCATGATTGGCTCTGGCTATCTCTCAGATCTTATTTCCTACCACTCTACCCCTCACTCATTCAGCACCAAACATAGGGGTCTATTTCTATAGCATATTAAGCATGTTTCTGCCTCAGAATATTCAAATTTGCTGTCTCCTATACTGGGATACTCTTTCTCTAGATGTACACATGTTTCACCTCTATCAAGTCAATTCCAGTTTCTGCTTAAGTCATTTTTATCAGTGTGTTCTTTTCTACCATTTAAAATAGACGCTACCTGACACTACTATCTAATACCTTCCCTGCTTTATTCTTTTTATCACATATTCTTGATAAAACATTTTTAATTAATTTTTTTGTTTTAATTAGTTATATACGACAGCAGAATGCATTTTGATTCCTTATACACAAATGGAGCACAATTCTTCATTTCTCTGGTTGTACACAAAGTAGACTCACACCATTCAAGTCATCATACATGTACCTAGGGTAATAACATCCATCTTATTCCACCATCTTTCCTACCCCATGCCCCCTCCCTTCCCCTCCCTACCCTTTGCCCTATCCAAAGTTCCTCCATTCCTCCCTTGCTCACCTTCATTATGCATCCACTTATCAGAGAAAACATTGGTCCTTTGGTTCTTTGGGATTGGCTTACTTTGCTTAGCATGATAGTCTCCAACTCCATTCACTTATCCACAAATGCCATGATTTTATTCTTTTTTAGTGCTGAGTAATATTCCATTGTGTATATGTGCTATAGTTTCTTTATCCATTTGAAGGGCATCTAGGTTGCTTCCACATTTTAGCTATTGTGAATTGTGCTGCTACAAACATTGATATGGCTGTATCACTGCAGTATGCTGATTTTAAGTCCTTTGGGTATAGACCCAAGAATGGGATAGCTGGATCAAATGGTGGTTCCATTTCAAGTTTTCTAAGGAATCTCCATACTACTTTCCAGATTGGTTGCACCAATTTGCAGTCCTACCAGCAATGTAAAGAGTGTGCTTTTTCCTCCACATCTTTGCCAACACTTATTATAGCCTGTATTCTTGATAATTGACATTCTGACTGGAATGAGATGAAATCTTAGTTTTGATTTGCATTTCTCTAATTACTAGAGAATTTGAACATTTTTTCATATATTTGTTGATTGAGTTTCTTCTTCTGTTAAGTGTTTGTTCAGTTCCTTAGCCCATTTATTGATTGGGTTATTTGGTTTTTTTCTTTGTTTCTTATTTTTTTGCGGGGGGGGGTACCAGGGATTGAACTAAGGGGCACTGGACCACTGAGCCACATCCCCACCCTATTTTGTATTTTATTTAGAGACAGGGTCTCCCGAGTTGCTTAACACCTCACCATTGCTGAGGCTGGCTTTGAACTTGCAATGCTCCTGCCTCAGTCTCCTGATCTGCTGGGATTACAGGCATGCATCACTGTACCATGTGGGTTATTTGTTTTTTTGGTGTTAAGTTTTTTTAGTTCTTTTAAAAAAAAAGAGAGAGAGAGAGGAGAGAGAGAGAGAATTTTTTTTTAATATTTACTTTTTAGTTTTCGGCAGACACAACATCTTTGTTTGTATGTGGTGCTGAGGATCGAACCCAGGCCGCACATATGCCAGGAGAGGCTATGCTTGAGCCACATCCCCAGCCTTTTTTTAGTTCTTTATATAACTTGGAGATTAATGCTCTATCTGATGTGCAAGTGGTAAAATTTGCTCCCATTCTGTAGGCTCTCTCTTTATGTTATTGTTTCTTTTGCTGAGAAKAAGCTTTTTAGTTTGAATCCATCCCACTTATTGATTCTTGATTTTATTTCTTACACTTTAGAAGTCTTGTTAAGGAAGCTGGGGCTTAATATGACATGATGAAGAATTGGGCCTACTTTTTCTTCTATTAGGCACAGGGTCTCTGGTCTAATTCCTAGGTCCTTGATCCACTTTGAGTTTTGTGCATGGTAAGAGTGGCTTAATTTCATTTTGCTGCATATGGATTTCCAGTTTTCCCAGCACCATTTGTTGAAGAGGCTGTCTTTTCTCCTTTATATGTTTTTGGCACTTCTGTCTAGATAACTGTATTTATGTAAGTTTGTGAGACTATGTTTTTGTTTTTCTGTATCTCTGACTTAGTAAAGATCCTGGAGGACAAGAAATTTGCTTTGTCCAGTGCTCAATAAGCACTGAGATGATTCCGAGGTGGCATATACTAAGAGTTCAATTAATATTGCTAATTGTATAGGAGGGAAAGACAGAATCACAACAAAATTTCAGGGCATTCTACATTTTATTACTTTATGGTAAAGTAATCAGGGGAAGTGGTAGGGGAAGTGTAGCGTTAGAGATTTTTAGAGATAGTAGACAGCAAGTTGACTAGATGAATATAACGAAGTTTCCAGTCAGTTCAGAATGATGAAAGAGTATAATTAATTTAATTATGTCAATCTATGAAACAGGACAATTTTCCACGACAAAGTACAAGCATGGAGAAGTACGTAGACCCATTCAGGATGGAGGTCTTGGAATACTGGGAGTGTTAAACCAGGACTGAGAGTAGAGCAGTATTGTAATTACTTATCATTGAATCTATGGTTAAGGAGGAAAGTGAAGACTGGAGGGAGTTAATGGCTAAGAGATAAAGTAGAGGCTTTCATCAGATTAGAGGTTCTGATAAGCCGAAAGAACAGTTATCTAAAATTCTTGAGCAGTTGAGAGGGTAACAGGCTGTGGTTGGGTAAAGGTATGTTCAAATTACTGATTCATGACGACACCGTGTTTCTTGTGACAAGATTTAGGATTAGGAGCTGATGTGTTGCTAGAGATAAGGCTAGATGTTGAATGGGTTGTCCACCTAGACTCTGAAACGATCAAGGAAGATGATCATAGAGGAAAAAATAATATAGGGAGCTCCATGCGCAAAATGACAAATGTTCATTACAGAGGTGGGTAAAGGAACAGCAATTCTTAAGAAGCAGCATCGGAGAAGCAAGGGTATTCGGCACACAGCCTCCACTTTTTGAAATCTGGTGAGAATACTAATCCATGTGAGAGGGTTCCAGGGGATGTAGCATTTTCAGGAGACAGGTCTCAGACCAAGACAGAATCATTCGATCTAAGAACGGAAATGACTAAGAACCACCAATTTGAGGATAGGAGACTGGGAGGGGACCTAAGCAAAAGAAAACTCCGAAGCCTCTTTGTTTTTACTAGACTTTCTCTCAACCTATCGCTCGCACCATACCAACCTCCGCACCCAGAAAACACCCAAGAAACACTAGGTAAAGCCTGGCTCTTTTCAACTCCCCGCGGAAGTCTCCCACCGGAACTCTTCTATGTCAGTGCTTTCCTATTGGCTGAAGCTTCCGCCCGCTTCAACTTGCTTCCCCTCACAACACAGGCGGGCCGAGCTGTCCCTAGAGTCACTTCCGCTTCGCCCCATACCCCCTCCTCGTTCCCTTTTTAGCCGCTTCCGGCCTCAAGCCCCGCCCCAGCCCGTGGGCCCCACCCTTCCCCGCCCCTCCCCCGCCCCCCGGCCGGCTGCCCGGCCCCGCGGCGCCGCTTCCGGTGCGGGCCCCGCCCCGGCTGTGGCCCCCGGCTGCGGAGAGTAGGAGACGCAGCTGCCGCGCTGGGCATTGAGCGGCTCCTTTGCCGCGGCGGACTGGGAGCGCCCCGCACAGGTACGCTGAGCGGGTCCTAGTTCTTTTAGCCGCCGCGGGCATGGGGGCTGTGGCAGGTGGAGGTGACCGAGGTGGGAGGGGAGGCAGGTGTGTAGGGGAGACACGAAGGCGCGGGCCGTCGGAGCGCGGGGACCGCTGAGGAAAAGTGAGAGCCCTGGGGAGGAGCCCCGGGGCGTCCTGTGCCCATAGGCGTGATTTAAGATAAAGGGAAAGAAAAGGGTAAGGGGGCCCCTGGGAACCGAGAGGGCGAAGATAGGTGGGGTCGGGGCGATCCGAGAAGAACCAATGAATTGGCTGAGAGAGCTTAGTAGAGGTAAAAGTGATAGGGCTGGGTGGGGTGGGGGGACAAAGAATGGGAGGGGGCCATTGGAGTGACCTGGGAGGGGAGATTGGAGGGGCCCGGGGCTAGTGGGTCTGGCAGCGAAGGTAAAGGAATGGTCAGCAAGGCCAGACTCAAAGGCGCAAGCTGTAGGTTTTGCCTGGCTTAGTGGTCCCTGAACTTTAGGGGAAATAGGGGAGGACCTGTGTGAGGGGATGGAGTGGTTTAGATTTCTGAGACTAAGTTCTCCAAATGTAGGCAGGTGGTATTGTTTGGATCACTGGCTACTTAGGGGCTGGGGGAAGATGGGCTCTTGGCGGGGAGAATGTGTATATTGAGTTGTAGAACTGAGTCATCTCAGACTTACTGAAGTAGCTGTGGGACACCTCCCCCTCTGCTGGGGACAGCGTAGAGAACATGGTGCCACAAGACAAGAAGCAGTTGTTCAGTGACTGACAGGACTTGGTTGAAAAATTATTTCGATTGTGACTGATTGTAATGATTACAGGACATGTTTTAATGACTACCAAATCATTTACTTTATTCTTTAATTTTCTTTGACCCAAGTTTTTTTTTTTTTTAAACTTTAAATGAACATTTTTGGGCTAGGGATGTAGCTCAGTGTCTAGTGTGTGCAAGGTCCTAGGTTCAATGCCCAGTATAGGGAAAAATAAATAAATAAACATTTTGCTAATTGGATTTATTGTGGGTTTAAATTTTTTCATTCCTTTTGATACTCTAAGAAGAGCTAAAGTGGAATGAAAGTATTGTTTTGGACATATCTCAAACTCACACTTTCTAAAAGTGCCAGGAGAGGAAGTAGAGACAGTGAGGGGCAAATTGGAATTTGAATCTTACAGACTACACAAAGCACAACCTGTGCTTCTAAGATGCAGAGAAAATGAGAATTTTTAATCTCTGCTTTTTTGCCTAGGTTTAAAGTTTGTACTTTTTTTACTCAACCTATTTAAAAAACTTAATTCAAACCATTTTTTATTGCTAGAGATGCAGTTACTTCCCTGTGAATTTTTAAATATGCTAAAGACATTTACTTTTCTTTTTTTTGTGTGTGTCTTTCAAACTCAATCCCAAAACACTGAAACAATGCAAGCATCAAGTCCCAACCTGTACAGTGCAGCTTCTTTCATGTGATGACAAAATTGTACACCATGCTGCAAGTCCTGTTCACCCTAAAATTTGCTCCTGCATAGTAATTCAGTTATAGAGACTTGCTGAGAAAACAACTCAAGTGAAGAGTCTGGAGAGGAGGGTGGGGGTAGAGGTGGAAAGGGTGTGAAAGGGGTATGTTTGGAGACTGGTAAGAATGCAGATAAACCTGCCCCCACAATGCTTTTGGCCTGAGAGCCTTTTCTTTTTGTATTCGTTGTAGAATAAATATCATAATAGAAATTAACCATAAAGAAAGGGGATGTGAGGAGATTTACTTGGCCATTTATAAAAAAGAAGCCGCATTACCTTGTTTAGATAATATTGATACCTGTTTCAAATTAATTAACTTTAAAATCTCCAGAGGAATTCTCCCTGTTTGTTTTTGAGCAAGGATTGCAATTTGAGACTCTTGCCTCCTTGCACGTTTCTTTCTTTCATGTTGTTGAAATTGGATTCTTTCTGAGGCTATAATGTCCAGTTTGCCTGCCTCAGTACACTCAGCAAGCAGGCTGGCAATTTGATCTGGGAAATTTGCAAAGTTTAAAACCCAAGAGCAGTTTGCTTGGTTTTGCTTCTTCTTTTAAGAGGATGCATTCTGTCTGCTTRTGTCAACTTGAATGGTAATATCTTTCTTCAGTGGGCCTGGGAATATAAGCAATAGTCTCTCTTTTGCTAGCAGGCCTTCTTTTTTCCCCTCTATTATTGTGGTTTTCATATTCCTGTTTAGTACAAACCCATTTACCTTTTCAGTAATAAACAGATTAATGTTTGAGAATGTAGAGGGAGAGAGATCAGAACACAGATGCTAGCAGCTTAAATATCATCTGAATTGCTTCTTTTAAACTCCCCAGTAAGGTCTGGGGCTGTAGTTCAATGGTAGAGCACTTGCCTAGCATGCGTGAGGCACTAGGTTCTATCCTCAGCACCACATAAAAATAAACAATAGAAATAAAGGCATTTTGTCCATCTACAACTACAAAACCATTTTTTTAAATAAAAATAAAACCCTCAATAGTATACCACTATTAAAATTCACTCCATTTCCCCTCTTAGATCCTGTTCCTCTTCACACCTTTCCCTACCCACCCCTCAAAACCCAAATACTCATTGAAAATCAGGTTTAGAAGCACTAAGTTTATGTTTAGTATTCAGAACTTATGGCTCTTTATTGGAGGAAAGAAAGCCTTTTATATCTGTTTTACATAGGTTTTTTTTTTTCCCCCCCTCCTCTGTGGTTTTGGTTAATCACATAAAGTATAAACCCAGTGTGCCTGCTGGGCTATGCTTGGGTTTAGAGCCATGCCAATCTGTGGTCGAAGCTTGAAGCAGTAATGGAGCCACTGCAGCAGCAGCAGCAGCAGCAGCAGCAGCAGCAGCAGAAGCAGCCACATCTAGCTCCTTTGCAAATGGATGCCAGAGAGAAACAGGGACAGCAGATGAGAGAAGCCCAGTTCCTGTATGCCCAAAAACTAGTTACACAGCCAACTCATCTTTCTGCCACACCTGGGAGACCTTCTGGCAGCCCTGCTCTGGGTCCCTTAGCCAGAGTTCCACCAGCCACACCAGTGGCCCGAGTTTTTGAACGGAGCAACGTGAACTCAGAGCCTGAGGAAGAAGAAGGTGGTTTAGAAGATGAGGATGAGGATGAGGATGTTGCAGAGGTGGCTGAAAAGGGGGCCCAGGCTGCTTCCAAATATTTTCATGTGCAGAAAGCAACTCGCCAAGACCCCAGAGTAGCATCCATGTCCAGTCTGCTTCCAGCACCAGGGCTCCCACCACACGGACAACAAGCTAAAGAAGACCATACCAAAGATGCTACCAAGGCCCCACCTTCTGTCTCCACAACTGGACAGCCAAGCTGGAATCTGGATGAGCAGCTTAAGCAGGTCAGTCTTTCCGCTATAGGAGGCCATTTATTCTTCCTAAAGGCTAGCTAGAAAGAGTATTGGATGGTCTGGTGCTACACCAATCTGGGTCTGCTCACCCCACTTCACTGAACCACACCATAAACAGACTTTGAACTTTTTTTTTTCACTTAATATTTGTTTTCTTGGGCTTGGGGTATAGCTTAGTGGTAATGTATTTAGTATGCCTGAGGCTCCAGGTTTAATCACCAACACCACCACCACCCACCCTACACACAGAAATTAACATTTGCTTTCTTGATTAAACCAATAGAATGTATCAGTAACTCGATGTAGATTGTTCCAAGTTTGACCCGAAAGAATATCAGTATAATCTTTTTTTTTTTTTTTTTAAAGGAAGAATGAGATTGCAACTGTGTTGATGTGTTGAGGATGCATCTAAAAATGTGAGATGCATGACACTGGAGTTTTTCCAATAATAACGTAAAAGAACAATCTTGCCCAAGAACTTCTTATTTCCAGGCTAACCCAGGATCATACTCTTTAAGGGAGATTTGAACAGAGCCGACAAGAAGCTCTTGTACTGTGTATGTTTCCTAGTAAAGAGGCTTATAGACATGATTTCATTTCACCCTTATAACATCTGCTTAGAAAGAGAGAAGGGTGGACCTCAAAATTCCCTTTATAGCCAAGGAAAACTTCTAAACATGGCTGAAATGACTTCTAAATGTCAGAATCGGTTGGGAAACTTTTTTAAAAGACAGACTGGAGTCCTAATAAATTATCTTGGAGAGTAGAGCCTACGGAATTTGTATTCTTATTCCAAGTCTTTTAATTTTAATTTTAATTTTTTTTCTTTATGGTGTACAATGTATATTCTCACTCAAACAATGAGATGGTTTAGGTTGGGAGTTCATGATAAAGCCATTAGTACCTGGATACTCAGAATATAGAATGTCCACATGCTTGTCATGTGTTCCAAATGGTGCTGTTTAGAAATTATTTGTGAAGAGCCATGGGTTAACACAGAACAACTGAGAAATGTAAGAAAGGTCCTTTGGAACCTGAAAAATCAAGCATCTTTGGATCAAGGAGCCCTGTGCAGTTGACCTAAGTTTTACAACAACAGTGTGCAGTAGATTATAGAATGAGAAATAGGCTCAAATCCTATTTTTTTCCTGTATCTTCCTCTGTGGTCTTTTGGTAGCCACACTTGAATTGCTCTAAGCCTGTGTCTTATCATCTGTGGAATAAAAGTAATGAAGGTGCCTCGCAAGGATACTTTGAGGATTAATGAGCTAGTCCATGTGAATATCTGTGCAGTGCCAAGCACATGGTGGCTAGTAATGCTCCAGAAGCTGTCTTATGCAAACAGTGCCATCTTCTTCCTGCATCTACACTGACAGGCCTCTGAACCAGAGAAAGTAAAGTACTAAGATGTACAAAGGGTTTCCCTCACATGACCCAGGGAGATAGCAGTAGAGCTAGGACTAGAATCAGAATCCCAACTTCCACGACAGCAGCACCCTGGCTGCCAGCCCAGACCCGCCTCCTGGCTGATTGCTTTGCTTTAGCAAAACATCTGTGAGTTGCCGGCAGCCCCGCACTGCTGTACGGTTGGCAGAGTTCCATGCTGGCCGCTGAGTCAGCTCATAGGATCCYGCCCTGACAGCGCTGGGAAAGTTCAGGCTCTAGGCGGCTGGGCTGCCCCCGCCTTGGCAGCTGGCCAGCCTCTGCTTGTGTGCGGTCGTTCCTAGAAAGTGCAGCCGCGTGCGAGGAACAAGTGGAGCTCCAGAGCCTGTCTGTCTTCAGGAAGTGCAGCAGGTGTTGAGGTCAAGCCATTAGAGCTTTGAAAAAAGCGACTCTTCAGAACTGGCTTGTGTGTGTGCACACGTGTGTGCCATGGCAAGGCAGCCTGCCTCAAGTCCTGGACAGCAGCCACTGCGCAGCTATAGAACTCAGCACTCTTGGGGGCTGGCTGTTGGCATTTGACACCCTTTGAGTTCATTTAGGTGTCTGAAGCACACTCACTAATTATAGACTGCCTGGCAGAGCACCTGCCAAAATGTTTTTATAAATGTTGGAGTAGCTGAGGCCTAATCCCTGCCCCCTGAACTTGAAAATCAGGAACTGGGTCAGGGGGGCATTGAGTGGACAGTGACTTAAAATCTTAGATGAGCATCTCCTATTCCTCTTATGGATTTTATTTTTTCAAAATGGGTTTGGTTTGTATTCTTTGTCTAAAACTTGTATATATATGTGTGTGTGTGTGTGTGTGTGTGTGTGTGTGTGTGTGTTTAAGTGTTTTATTTATTTATTTACTTTTTAGAAGTAGTTGGACACAATATTTGGTTTATTTATTTTTATGTGGTGTTGAGGATCGAACCCAGGGCCTTGTACATACTAGATGAGGCTCTACCACTGAGCCACAATCCCAGCCCTAAACTTGCTTTTAAAGAAGTAATGTGCTTGGGGATTAAGATTTTTTTGTTGTGTTTTATAAGGAAGACTAAAAATCTATCCTTGAGTAGGTCCTATAGAAATCGTGGAAACCATGAGACTAGCTGTTTATTGTTTAGTCTTTTTTTTTTTTTTTAATGTAATTAACTTCTAGAGAGCATAAATAGGGCTGCCCTTGCTCCAGCAATTGAAAGGCTTTATGTGTTACAGTGTCCATTTTGTTCTTTTAAACAACAAACTTGTACAGAAGGCTTCTTTGTGCCAGGGCTGTGCTCCCTGAGGTAAGTCATGTCTTTCCAGGGAGCTGGTGTGATGGTACTGGGAAACCTCAAGGTGGATTGGAGTAAATTACATTGTCCAGGATCAGCTAAAGCCAAATCTCCAGTCTGTGCTATGGTGTAGATATTTCTAATAGATAGATGTTTATTTGTTGCAGTACAGGGGATTGACCTCAGAAGCACTTTACCTCTAAGCTACATTCTCCAGCCCTTTTTATTTTGAGACAGGGTCTTGCTTAGTTGCCTAGGCTGGACTCTAACTTGAGGTCCTTCTGCCTCGGCCTTCAGAGTCATAGGGATTTCAGGCATGCATGACCACATCTGGCTATGATGTAGGTATTAGTTTTGTTTCACTCACTAAAGTAAAAAAGTTAAGTGTTGTTTCCCCCCACCCTTAAATTAACATCATAGCATAGCTTGGCAAATCAACAAGATTACTCTATTTTGGAAGCTTTGGTGAATGTGGGTGTGGGTGTGGGTATGGGTGTGGGTGTGGGAAGGGGGTGTTGAGAGTAGGAGAGGTAGCTGCCAAGCAAAGAGCAAAACTAAAAAACTTAAGGATGCCATAGATAATCCATTGTTTCTGAAATCCCTTTCTTAGAATATGTAAAGTCAAAACTATTTTATGAATTCTCTTTGAATTGAATAAACTCTTAGAAAATGTTTGTTTCTGAAGATCTAGATCATTATGAATATAGTATTCTGACACAAGAGCGATGTGGAAAATGAATAATACCACCTAGCCCAACATCTTAAAACCCGTCAGATTTCTATGGGCAGAGTAAATAATTGTAAAACAAGACAACAAAGAACTGAGTGTTTCATCTCTCAGAGGAAATCACATAGCCAATGGAGAGAGGGCTGTTGTTGGCCTTTTAGGGGTGGTCTTCTGTTGTCCTGGATAGAGGTCGTTCAGGCAATACAGTCTTTGTCTGTCTTGAGCCTGTTAGTTTCCAGAAAAGTCTTTGTCAGCCTGTTAGTTTCCAGAAAAGCATAGACTTCTTTCCACAAAATAGGAAGATGAGCGATGACTTGATGGCCTGTGGGAGCCAGAGTATATATGTCTGGATTTCTGCATACTTTGGCAGTCACTTTGGTTATTGTGTGTGACTTTGCATAACTCAGTGCAAAACACTACAAGTCGTTACTCAATAATGTAGGCCCTCTCCTTCTCCTCTTCTTGGATATTTTACAAGGTTTTGCCTCAGTTGCCTTCTAGGATCAAGAGTCTAATTTCAGAAAACTTGCAATTAAAGAATTCCTAACACTTCCTAAAGCTTGCTAATCACATGCATTAATGAGGAGAAGGTATTGCCAATTCTGAACACGTGGAAGTTGTTTGGCGCACTCTCCACTCATGACAGCTGTGTAGGCTTTCTTTGAATTCATTGGAGCAGCATCTCTGCAGGACTGAAGCAGAGGAAGCTTCATGGCAGACTCAAAGAACCATGTTAGATGGGCACTGGGAGACAGGGAAAATGACGAGGAAATTTTGTCTGTTTTCCCCCAAAATAATTGATTTTCTCTAAAAATAAAAATTTTATTAACTACTTCAAAATCAGTCTTGTTTTACTGTGAGAGATGACTTCCTGCTGAGCAGTTAGTGGACAAAGATGTGTCTGCCTTTTTCTCCTAAATGTTGTGACTGTCTGGTTTTCCAGAATCTATTCCTGTAAATAAAATGTGGGTCTTTGGGCTAGGCCTCCTTTTCTTGGTACATACTGCATGACTAGAATATCTGGGACTTTTTGTAAAAATTGTGTAAAATATTGCCTTTAAAAAAAATTGTAGACTTTCCTCATTCTTTGTAAGGCTGTCTTACATGCCCTTGGCTTCTATAATCACAGTAGAGTCTGTCTAGATCAGTAGTTCTCATTTGGAGGTGGCCCTCCCTTTCTTCCCCCAGGATACATTTGAAAATGTCAGGAGACATTTTTGGTTTCTGTGACAGGGGTGTTGGCAGATGTGCTACTAGCATCTAGTGGATAGAGGCCAGAGATACAGCACACAGGACAGTTCCCCACAACAAAGAAAAGAATTACCCAGTACAAAACATCTAGGTTGAGAAATTCTTGTCTGTATTGTGTCACTGGAAAGAAAATTGTATGCTATGCTTTTCATAGACAGTGCTCTAGACTTAGCTCCTTTGTGCTTCAGTCTTAGTAACTGAGGGCTTTAGCATCCTTGATTTTTTTTTTTCCTCTATTTTTCAATGTATGTGTTGAGTTAGGTGTCTCCTGAAGTCATCTGAGTGAACAGACTACCACCTGGGAGAGGCCTAGG